ATCCTCCAGCGCTGACTGGGGGAACGGACGGGGGAGGGGGAGGGTACAGCTGGCTCTGCCTATAGATAGGCAGAGCCAGCTGTCACTCACGCAGCTGGGCGGATCCAGACATAATTGTCGGGATCCGTTTCAGCTGCGGCGTCTCAGTATATAGGGAGCTGTAGCTCCCTATATACTGAGCTTAGGGTGACAGGAGGACGCTAGTTTGTGTCCTCCCGTTACCCTAAGGAGGAGAACTATGGGGAAAAGCCCTCACCCCATAGTTCTCCTTTAATGTATCTTAAATAGAAAACTATCTTTAGATAGATTTGTACTTCCAAAAGCCTTTTATTAAAATACATTTGATAAAAATTTTAATCAGATTTAAATTTAAAAAAAAGACAATTTTTTTTTTTGATTGTTTAAAAAAAAAAAAAAAAATCAATTTTTATTTACCCTGTTTTAAGATTGATCTGTAAAATAATAAAGCTTTAAAAAAAATAGTAAAAACATAAAATAGATTTTTTTAAAAACAAGACAAATAGTATTGACCCAAATCCATTTGTAGTTCCCCCTTTAAATGGACACACACAGTGCATTGTTCGTGATTTTGTCTTTTATTTGTTTATTATGTGAATTACCAAAAAAAAATTTGATTTATTTTTCATAAAATGGTTTTTATTTTTCAGGAAAGTATAAAATAACGCATATGATTATTGAACATTTTTCAGCCCAGCAAGTGCCCAGCCCCCAGCAATGGAAGGGAAAGTCAGCGTTTCATAACAAGAGCAGAAGAGGTCACAATACACAGTGACGTCACAAGGGGGGGGTGCGGCCCGCACGCGGGGGACACCATTGGAGGGGTGGTGCCAAAATGACTGGCAGTCATTCTGGTGTCACCCCCCCTCTAAAAAGCCGGGCACTCGTTCATGGAGAGAGCCCAACAGTGTCAGGAGAGAGGAGGGGGCCCGGCGGCATACCTCATCCTGCCGGGTGAACGTCATCTCCTTTCTCTGCCAGTGTCCATCACCAAGATGGCCGCCGGCAGACACGTATGTGCGATGACATCCCGGTGGGGTGTCACCCGTTCTCCGCTCTAGGTGACACCCGGCCTCGGGACGCCCCTGACAATACACACACAGCTAAAGGAGAGAGCAAAACTACCCCCCGCCCCCTCTCTCTGTCCTAGCAGCAGGCGCACCATCCTAATTCGTCATGTATTGGTAAATAGTTACTCTGTATTCATTTGTCGTAAGATAATGAGATTAATATAATGTCAAAAATATGAAGTAAAAAGTATTATTTTAAAGTTACAAAAAAAACAATCTGATACATTGATCAAATTCCAGCTTCAGGGACAGGAAGTGGAAAGCTCACAGAGGAGAGGAATTCTTACTGCTGCTTTTTATCTTGGAAAGGACAGCCAGGGCCGGATTTCCCACAAGGCCAACCAAGGCCCAGGCCTCGGGGCAGCAGGGGTGTACAATTCCTATATCCCGACGTCATATGCAGCCTGCAGGTCAAAAAGTACAAAAATAAGAAGATAAATTAATGTTTAAAAAAAAAAAGAATTAAGAATAAAAAAGTAAAAAAAAATAAAGAAAAAAATAAAATAAAACTAACCTTGCCGCACCCACCATCTGGTTGCCGTTCTAAATTACAGGGGGTGGAGGGCATTGAGGAACCTGGCCTTGGGGCAGCAGAGAAGGTAAATCCGGCCCTGAGGACAGCGCAGAGGTTCTCAATCCGCACAGAACACTTAGAAGTCTATTTTTATAAAACAATTGCATAGCTATTTATTAATCATTTCTTCCAGTGCGTTCACGGGGTAAAAAACACATTCTGGGTGCCATTACCTAGTAATGGCAACACAAGTGCATTTTGCGCCTGTGCACGTATCGTTAACACGTTTCTGCGCATTTGGCACGCGTTCATCATGATACACCTTGGTGTGAATGGGGCCTCAGACAGGAAGTGAGGGGAAATCTTTGCAGTTGGGCCGGAGGTCACAATAAAAAGCTGACCGGTTATAACACTAAATAGGTTTTAGGTGAAGTTACTTTTTAGTAAAATACATTGAAGGGTTTGTTGTGTGTAGGCGTCTCAGTTACGCTTAAAGGAGAACTATGAGATGAGTGATTTCCACTCACCTCATAGTTCTAGCCGACCTGTGACAATGAGACTGTCACAGGTCGGCTCAGTAGATCGGGAGGTGAGCGAACACATGCCAGGTTCGCTCACCTCTCGATCCTGTCACGGCTCTCTGCCGTGACAGGGGAGGGGCTGGATTCCCCTCTCCCCGCTCCGATCTGACGGGGGAGGGGGCGGGTACAGCTGGCTCTGCCTCTAGATAGGCAGAGCCAGCTGTCACTCACGCAGCTGGGCGGCTGCGGCATCTCAGTATACCGGTATACTGAGCTTAGGGTGACGGGAGGACGCTAGTTTGTGTCCTCCCGTTACCCTAAGGAGAACTATGGGGAAAAACACCGACCCCATAGTTCTCCTCTAAGTTACATTTTGTATTTCATTTAGCTGCGGATTTCTCTTCTCCGCAAATGTGTTCCGCACCATCTCCTTGTACTTCCGCACGAGGTCCGACACGGCCCCCCCCCCGCGGCAGAGCTCTTCGGGTTTTAACTGATCCAAGTCGGACCGGGCGATGTCCCCCAGGAAAGCCTTCCTCTTCTCCTCTGCCTTTTGTTGCAGCACGATCTCCACTTCCTGCAGGACGAGGTCTTCATTCCACCTCTGGACGCAGTAGGAGCAGCATTTCTGTGCCCACGTGGACGGTGGCACGGCGTAATCCAAAATTAAAAGGAGGACCAGGCCTGCCAGGCCAGCAATCTGGATTAGCAAAGAAGGAATATAATACAGCAAATTATTTTGAATGATTGCACAAAAAAGTAAATATATTTATATGTATATACATTGCTATAGAATCCTCAGGATGGGGGGGGGGGTGGGGTCTTTAGGTTTTTAAAAAAAAAATCTTATTAAAGTAGATGGAATCCCAAATGGAATGACAATGTATTGTCACAAATGCCCATGTGTTGCTTGCCTACTTATTATCACAACTTCCTGTTTTGTCACTCTCTCGTTGTCATAACTGCCCTTTTGTTACCTGGATATTGTCACAATTACCCATTTTTTGCTCACACATCTCCTCAGATGCCCATTTGTCTACCATATAGTGTCAGAATGGCACATTTGTTGCCTCTGTCTTGTCATGATTGCCCATTTGTTGCCCTTGTAATATAGGAATTGCTCCATTTGTAGTTCAGGTATCATAGGGCCCCTTAGCAAAATTTTGTATGGGGCCCTGTGTGATTTCTAGTTGTGCCCTTGCAGAGCCCACCTGATATACCAAACAGCCCACCTGAGAGTGACCCTGCAGAGCCTGCCATAGACTCTCTATAGTGGGATCTGCAGGGTCTTAAGTGGGCTGGTCAAACCCTCTTACCTGTCAGCCCTGACCCGCTTGCCGCCTCCTCCTCCACGGTCGCTGCCAAGCCCTGCCTCCTCCTTTGCCGGGCCCCGCCTCCTCTTCCGTCGCCGGGCCCCGTCGCCTCTTCCGTCGCCGGGCCCCGTCGCCTCTTCCGTCGCCGGGCCCCGTCGCCTCTTCCGTCGCCGGGCCCCACCTCCTCCACTGCTGACGCCTGGCCGAGCCTCCTCCACAGCTGCTGGCTATCACTGACTCAGCAGCGGCTGTGAGGAGGAACGCGCCGCTGCACACATCACCTGACAGGTTGTTGGTGATCTAACAGGGACACGTTCCTCCTTTACAGCCGCCAGTGACAACCAGCAGCCTGAGATGTCATAGCGACCCAGGCGGCCCGCACGGCATCAGGGGGATGTCCTGGCCGGGCCCCCCTGTGCCCCGGGCCCCATAGCAGCCGCCTGTTAGGCCATTGATAATACTTTATCACTTGGCCATCGCACACTATGTGTACCATTGGTAATCTATCGATATGAGTCGTTGTTGCGTATCGGAGCTGCAGCCTCTTTGCAATCACTTCCTGTCTACATGCATTCCAGTGATGGCTGTATTTCTCGGGGCGGGTTTCCCGATGGTGACAACAGTGGAGCTTATAACAGGAGGCTGAATGCCAGCGACGTAAGGCATACTTAAGTGGCCTGATGGGAACTGTTTTGGTCCGAAGTACGCCTTACACCGTTAGCAGGGAAAGTGTTAAAAGAAGGCAGCACTGAGTCGCATTGAATCAAGTTGAATTGCTCCTTACCTGGACAGCTACACGAACTTTCTCTATAAAATAAGAACCCGGACTTCGGATCACAAGGCACACAAGATATTGACCATCAATCATAGAGAGCAGAATCCAGATCAGCGGCGCCTTCCCGGCCTGTCCCACCACGTACAAGCAGTACCGGCAGGAGCAACACCTCGTGCCGAACAAACTTCCTTTTAAATCCTCATGTCTTCTCATGCTGGGGCAGAACTTCCCTTTGCAGCTGAGTGCCTCTTCCTGTAGTGCTGGCTCAGGTTGTGAACCTGCACACAGACACCGTGTATCCATTTCTGAGACAAGGCAGTCTGCTGCAAAACAAAAGTTCTGCCCCAGCATGAGAAGACATGAGGATTTAAAAGGAAGAGCAGCAAAGAGAAAGGAAACTACCACGGATTACAGTAAGGCGCACATTACAGTATTGTTTTATGTTAAAAAATCTGACGGTTTAATGTCACTTCAATGGATTTTATTGAGTCACTTCCTCTCTTTGTTGGGTGTCAGACAGAACAGGAAGTGAGGCAAAATCCCTCAATGAGGACAGAGCCAGCAATACACATTTTCTTGTAGAATTAAAAAGGTTTAGAACCCCAGTCAGGTGTTGTGTCCCCATGGGGGCACAATGAAGCAGATTTGCACTTATTTTATGTCCCCCAGATGAATGCGTAGCGAGTAGAGACTTGACTTGGGTCACATAATATGCAAAAGAAAAAGAAGCAATAGGAGAACAATCAGATGCTCCCTAGAAGGAGTTTGCAGCAATACTAGTTACAGTCTATTTGATTAAAAAAGAACCAAAAATGATTTTACTAGAAGCTGTGTGAAGGCAGAACAGTATACATGGGTTGTCTGTATCCTTAGAAATGCTTATTGTATCTTATTTTGCTTGCAGAAAATCCACTTATGGGTATAACACATGGAGAAGGTAAATGGCTGAATCTCAAGACTTTATATCTTAGTTGATTCATTGTTAATTTTATAGTCGGCATGTGAATTATGGCAAATGTTAAAGGAGAACTATGAGGGGGGTGATTTCCACTCACCTCATAGTTCTAGCCGACCTGTGACAATGAGACTGTCACAGGTCGGCTCAGTAGATCGAGAGGTGAGCGAACAGATACCGGCGTACCTGTCACGGCTCTGCCGTGACAGGGGAGGGGCTGGATTCCCCCCTCCCCGCTCCGATCCGCCAGCGCTGACTGGCGGAACGGACGGGGGAGGGGGCCGGTACAGCTGGCTCTGCCTCTAGCTCTGCCGCCAGCTGGGCGGATCTCTACATCGATGTCGGGATCCGCTCCGGCGTCTCAGTATACCGCGAGCTGTAGCTCCCTATATACTGAGCCTAGGATGAGGGGAGGACGCTAGTGTCCTCCCGTTACCCTAAGGAGAACTACGGGGAAAAACACTGACCTCATAGTTCGCCTTTAAGGGCACTCTTCAGATAACATTGAAAATCACACCATGGGACGCCACATACAGAGAGCAGAACCTATCTACTGAGTAGTCTAGTTTTTCACCTATACACTAAACTGCATCCATCTATCCCATTCACCCTGTATGCATCCTGCCAGGGGCAGCCCCGTCTACCCCATTCACCCTGTATGCATCCTGCCAGGGGCAACCCCGTCTACTCCATTCACCCTGTATGCATCCTGCCAGGGGCAACCCCGTCTACCCCATTCACCCTGTATGCATTCTGGAAAGGGCAACCCCGTCTACCCCGTTCACCTTGTATGCATCCTGCCAGGGGCAACCCCGTCTACCCCATTCACCCTGTATGCATCCTGCCAGGGGCAACCCCGTCTACCCCATTCACCCTGTATGCATCCTGCCAGGGGCAACCCCGTCTACCCCATTCACCCTGTATGCATCCTGCAAGGGGCAACCCCGTCTACCCCATTCACCCTGTATGCATTCTGGAAAGGGCAACCCCGTCTACCCCGTTCACCTTGTATGCATCCTGCCAGGGGCAACCCCGTCTACCCCATTCACACTGTATGCATCCTGCCAGGGGCAACCCCGTCTACCCCATTCACACTGTATGCATCCTGCCAGGGGCAACCCCGTCTACCCCATTCACCCTGTATGCATTCTGGAAAGGGCAACCTCGTCTACCCTGTTCACCTTGTATGCATCCTGCCAGGGGCAACCCCGTTTACCCCATTCACCCTGCATGCATTCTGGCACATGGCATCTCAATGAAGGGGGGGATGGCAGCATGTGCGACTAACAGGCTGACGGCTCGGCCCAAACCCCAGAGACACCTGCAGGTGAGCACTGGAACTGCTGGATCTGCTCCAGCTCCGCGGTGCCACCTGGAGGTGTCCTGGTCCCTGACAGGCAGGCTACAAGAACTTTTAAAGGAGATCTGCAATGACTTTCTTTGCATTTCTCTTAGTTTGGGCTGGAGTTTGGCCATCCCTGCTTTAAAGCAAGGTGCAAAGTCACAGCTCTCTGGCGACTGACTGCCTTTCACCACACTTTTGTCCAAGTCCTCCTTGGTGTGCTCTATATGTATTGAAGCTTTTGGATGTAATCTCTAAATATCAAACTCTTGTACGCCAAATACACTATAGACACCAACCATCTTAATATTTCTGTATTTTTTAGGTATTCGTGGACAATCATTGGTATTTCCAGAGGAAGGTGTTCGGGATTACGCAGTCTTACAACCAAGTGTGCCAATAGACCTAACTGCATTCACTCTTTGGCTCCGCGTCGCCACGGAGTTGTCTGGCCATCGGGAGATCATCTTTTTCTCCTACTTCAATGACCGAGATGAGTTAAACATTTGGAGAGAATTAGACGGTCGTATTTCCTTGTATCTCGGCAGAAGTAATTATGGAGAAAAGTTCTCTTCACCCGGCCTCAGTACATTTGGAAATCATATCTGCATGACCTGGGAGTCTTCATCAGGCTTGACAGCCTTTTGGTTTAATGGCAAGCGCTCTGCAAGTAAAATTTACCGCAAAGGCCATCAGGTTATTCCAGGTGGAAGGGTGATCCTGGGGCAAGAGCAAGACAAATTTGGGTCGCGTTTTGATGCCCAACAAAGTTTGGTGGGTGAGATTTCAGACGTCCATCTGTGGGATTATGTTCTACCTCCCACTTCCATCAAGCAGATCTATGAAGGAAAGCCCCAGTCTTTGGGGAACATCATTAACTGGGAATCTATTAAGTACACTTTATATGGAAATGTTATAGCATAGTAAGGGCAAATGTATCAGTACAAGTCTAAGGTTGATGATCTGACTGTTATAAATGTCCGGTCTTGTATTAGATGTGGTGATTGAATCTGCTAAATCCCTACTCGGGTATTATAGTGAGAATTTTGGTTCCAGGTTTCATATCAGGATACGGACTCAGATAATCTAGGTGATCTCTTCTACTTAACATTTCGGCCTGTTCACTCAGGTGATCAGTGATGGAAGTAATATTATGTTTTGCTGTGTAATTCTACATCTTCTAGAACAAGACAATCGCTAAACGTTGTGGAAAGCAAACTGCATTGGGGTGATTTGCGATGCATTCGCCTCCATAGTGATATCAATTACAATCATTTTTGTTAAATGAAAATAAAATAAAGTGATACATTTTGAGACAACGTGCTGCTCTTTTTATTTCAAACCCCAAGTGTTTTCTTCAGCATTTCATGCATGATTAATTATTATGATACTCCGCAAGCCATACAACTGACAAAAGGTTACAAGGTTTTTTTTCTTATCGCTTGAAAGTAAATCTGTGCTTTGTCCACGCAAATACCTCAATACCACCCCACCATTCCCCCGGCAGCAAACAGCCACTGGGAGCAAAGGAAGTATTTGATTTAGGAGAGTACATTGTACTGAGTACATTGAAAAACGCACTTGCATGCAGTGGCGTAACAATCACCATAGCGACCCAGGCGGCCACTATGGGGCCCGGGGCACAGTGGGGCCCGGCCAGATGCCGTGCGGGACGCCTGGGTCACTATGAGATCCTCTGCTGGTGGCTTTCACTGGCGGCTGAAGATGAACACACCGCTGTTCAGATCACTGACAGTAATCTGTGCGGCAGCGCGTTCCTCTCCACAGAGTCAATGAGAGCCAGCAGCGGCAGTGGAGGAGCAGGCGGGGCCCCGGTGACGAAGAAGGAGGCAGGCCCGGCAACGGATGGAGGAGGCAGGGCCCATCAGCGACCGAATAGGCGGACAGGTAAGGAGTGCGACCAACCCACCTGAGGGTGACCCTGCATAGCCCACCATAGAGAGTCTATGGTGGGCTCTGCAAGTTCACCCTCAGGTGGGATCTCGAGTGGGCTCTGCAAGGGGGTATAACTAGAAATCACGGGGGCCCCATACAAAATTTTGCTATGGGGCCCTGTGATTTCTAGTTACGCCCCTGCTTGCATGGATTCTAATGTACTATTGTACTGAGGTTGCCTGCCTCCGAGGAAGACAGTGGACATCCTGGTGTCTTTTATAAGCACAATGGGGGGAATTTATCAAAACTGGAGCAGATAAAATGTGGAGCAGATGTGCTTGGCAACCAATCAGCATCTCTCTTCAGTTTGTTCAGTTAAGATTTGAGAATGAGAGAGAGAAGCTGATTGGTTGCCGTGCACATCTGCTCCCGATTTTGTCTGCTCCAGTTTTGATAAATCCCCCTCAATGTATTTTGCCAAAATTGTTGTGGGGCACAGCAGGTTCTTGACATGCCAGAGGAGAGGAATGTGTGTTGATAACATGGGAGGAAATGACTTGTTGATGATTCAGAAAAGGGGATGCAGATGACAGGAGACATGTCATGATCTAAGAAGGTCTATAGATCTATATGGGTTGGACTTGATCTATATGGGTTGGACTTGATCTATATGGGTTGGACTTGATGGACGTATGTCTTTATTCAACCCCAAATACTATGTTACTATGTAACTATGTAAGAAGGTACAAGGCAGATCGTCATACTGAATCATTTTTATATCTTGTGATCCGGATAAGCGCATTCTTCACTTCTTTGTTCCTCAAACTATATATTAGAGGGTTCAGCATGGGAGCAATAGCTGCATACATCACTGAGAACGTTTGGTCCAGTTCACCGGAATACCGGGAGGTGGGTTTCATGTACATGAAGAGAATAGTCCCGTAGAACATCAGAAGGACTATCAGGTGGGACGCACAGGTGGAGAAGGTCTTTCTTCTACCGCTGGCCGACATGCGTAAAACAACTTTTATTATCTTCATATACGAGCTCATGCTAAGCAAGAGAGGGCAGAGCCCAAGAACGATTACCTCTACGTAAATAAGGGCATCAAATCTGGCATCGGGGCAGGAGATCTGCGCCAGGGCTTTGACGTTGCAGAAAAATTGTTGAATTTTATTAGAGTAGCACAGAGGCAAAGTGGAAGCAAACAACGTGACGAGAGCAGAATTGATACAACCGGGAATCCAAATGGCAACGGATAGCAGGACACAGTTTCTTCTATTCATGATGAGGTGGTACTTTAAAGGGTTACATATAGCGATGTAACGATCGTAGGCCATGGAGGATAATAAGAGGACTTCGATGCTGCCTACGAAGGTGAAAAAGAACATCTGGGCGAAACACTGTATAAAGGATATTGAGTTATCGCCGGTAAGTAGCATGTCCATCAATTTCGGCACGGTGACGGTGGTGTAACTGATGTCTACGAAGGAAAGATTGCACAGGAAAAAATACATCGGGGTATGTAAGTGGATGTCTGCGCAGGTTACAGTTATTATAATGAGATTTCCCAGCAATCCTGTTAAATAGATCAATAGAAATACAGAAAAAAGGAGAGGCTGCTTTCCGTGCTCACTGAAGAACGCCAAGATCTGGAAGTCTCTAGCGGTCGTCCCGTTGTCCGCAAGGTTTGCCATCTTCTGTAAAAGGAAATCATGGAAGCACATCAAGGGGATAATTCAATACAAATATACACTGAGTGGCGAGATTATTATGACCCCCCCATCAGTACTTGGTTGGGCCGCCTGGTGACTCCACGAGATGGTGAAAGGTGATGCGAGGAATCTGACACGGCACTGTTGCCCTTCTGTTGTCTTGTACCAGTCTTGCCCCTCCCCCGTTCTGCCCTAACATTGACTAGTCGCTGGCGGCCACAATTCGCACGCTCAGACCCAGATTTTCGGCTGACAGTCCGGTCTTTAAACAACAGTGTATATAATAATCCGGCTACTCGCGGTGTATATAATAATCCGGCCACTCAGTGTATATAATAATCCGGCCACTCGGTGTATATAATAATCTGGCCACTCGGTGTATATAATAATCCGGCTACTCGCAGTGTATATAATAATCCGGCTACTCGCGGTGTATATAATAATCCGGCCACTCAGTGTATATAATAATCCGGCCACTCGGTGTATATAATAATCTGGCCACTCGGTGTATATAATAATCCGGCTACTCGCAGTGTATATAATAATCCGGCTACTCGCGGTGTATATAATAATCCGGCCACTCAGTGTATATAATAATCCGGCCACTCGGTGTATATAATAATCTGGCCACTCGGTGTATATAATAATCCGGCTACTCGCAGTGTATATAATAATCCGGCTACTCGCGGTGTATATAATAATCCGGCCACTCAGTGTATATAATAATCCGGCCACTCGGTGTATATAATAATCTGGCCACTCGGTGTATATAATAATCCGGCTACTCGCAGTGTATATAATAATCCGGCTACTCGCGGTGTATATAATAATCCGGCCACTCAGTGTATATAATAATCCGGCCACTCGGTGTATATAATAATCTGGCCACTCGGTGTATATAATAATCCGGCTACTCGCAGTGTATATAATAATCCGGCTACTCGCGGTGTATATAATAATCCGGCCACTCAGTGTATATAATAATCCGGCCACTCGGTGTATATAATAATCTGGCCACTCGGTGTATATAATAATCCGGCTACTCGCAGTGTATATAATAATCCGGCTACTCGCGGTGTATATAATAATCCGGCCACTCAGTGTATATAATAATCCGGCCACTCGGTGTATATAATAATCTGGCCACTCGGTGTATATAATAATCCGGCCACTCAGTGTATATAAGTTTCAGCTTTTGTAGTATTTTCCTGAGCTCATGTTTTGAGTTGCTATTGTTTTCCATTTGCCTTATATTATTAATATTATTATACAGGATTTATATAGCGCCGACAGTTTGTGCAGCGCTGTACAATATAAGGAAGACATGAGAATACAATTCAAGACAAGATGGTAAAGAGGGCTCTGCCCCTGAGGGCTTGCAATCTAATAGGGAGGGGCAAGTGATACATATATTTTACCTTAATTGCGGTAACACATCTTCATGATGGACAGATGTAGAGTCCCCTTCTAGATGCTGTCCCCTGCAGTCAGCATCCTTTCTTAAAAAAAAACAAAAAACTACTGAGACAAAATAAACGACAGGATAGTCCACCTAGAGATTGCATTGTAACCCAAGAAGGAACATAGATCTGTGTTGACCAGCAAATTTGACCCTGTCAGGATAATAAAACTGTCCCAAACGGCCTCCCTGCAAAAGAAGAAGTAATTATGTACCACTGCTTCATTAAAAATAAATCTTCCCCAAAAATGTTTTAAGAACCAGACATAATAAATAACTGCTGTATTTTACTTTTAATATGTAATCATAAGATTTCGTAATATGACAATTCTATAGTCTACATTTCATATAGGTTATTAACTTATTTGATTTATGACCCTCCGCCTTGTAATGATTTGGGTATTGCAGTATTGATGATCAAAATGACCATTTTTATATGTTTAACATACAGTATGCCCTAAGATCTATCTATCTATCTATCTATCTATCTATCTATCTATCTATCTATCTATCTATCTATCTATCTATCTATCTATCTATCTATCTATCTATCTATCTATCCAGGGCCAGTGCTAGGATTCGTGCCTACACAGGCAAGGTGCATTTTTGAGCCCCCCTCCCCGACCCGACCCCCTGTAAAAACAGGGCATTTTGATAGGTACTTGTACTTGTCAAAATGCCTCGATGTTTGCGCTATGTTTTTGTTTTGTTTTTCACTTTCCTTCGGTGCGGGAGAGCAGCGGCGAGTCAGCGCTGGTCCGGTGGGAGGAGCTCCAGGTGGGGTCCTAATTTAGCTGGCCGGCGACTGCCTGAGGTGCCACGCGTGTCGGGATCCTCAGGCAGTCGCCGGCCAGCTAAATTAGGACCGCACCTGGAGCTCCTCCCACTGGACCAGCGCTGACTCGCCGCTGCTCTCCCGCACCGAAGGTAAGTGACAAAAAAAACAAAAAAAAAAGGC